TATAAACTTAAAATGAATCAGCACAAAGCATCTTAGGTATAGGCCTCGACTAAATCTGCTGCAAGCTTCAGTTCGCCTATACGTTTTTTGTTGAGGACAATATCCACAATTTTGAGAAATTAGTTCTGACCCTCCGGATACTACTCAAGTGGTAACTTCTTTACATTTTAGCGTGTAAGAATTAACACATTGTTAGAAACAAGTGTAGTTCTCTATGAACGTTTTTTGCCGAATTCTTTGAGCAAAAAGAGTGGAGTGCCATGGAGAAATGGAAGTTTCGTAGATTTAAGCATTGATCATCTAGATAAAACTTCAAGAGAATGGTCATCTTTAACACAGCTAGAAAATACTGAATAAACCAAAGTTGTGTGAAGATCTCACCTCAAGGCATTTACAAAGGGAACAATCAATTTGTGGTTCAGAATATGTGACGACTTTAAACCGTTAACACGGTGCAAAATGAAATGAAGCGGCCGCACTTTCCGCGCCACAGGAACAATGTAACAAGGACAGGTATTAACTAAGTGGACACCTCTTTTCAGCTTACCTAATGGAGGTCCATTGTTTGGAATTGGAAAATGGTTAATGCTTGGCTCTGAACGAGGATGTGGGATTCCACCAAAGTTAAGTCCAGGGTCAGGGGTACAAAGAGGCAAACTGTGAGCATGATACGCAAACGGACGTACTGCCTTAGGAACAAGTGGAAATGACGGCCTTCGGAGGGAATCACACGTTGAAGTAGCAGTTGAGAGCCTGGCTGTTGGCTTCTTTTCTGTAGCACCTTGTGAGAGATTCAAAAGGTTTTCTATTGAAAAGGAGCTTCCAGCTAGAGCAGGTGGAGATGTTGTGGCACTCTCTGCCGCCATATTGACTTTGCATCAGGGCGTGTAGTACAGCAATCTTGTAATGAATAGCGGCAAAATATTTGATAATCATGCACGTCAGCCTCTTTTAAACAATAACCGGTCATTACAAAAGGTGTCAGTGATAAAATCAACATCAAAATTGTTCCCTGCACAGAAATTCTCATAAATAAACCACATTTCTCATAATGAGCAAAGCACCGCAGCAGCAGTGGTCTCTGATCTAGAAAACAATGTGGGATCAGTGATTGGGCGCAGTTTTGAACCCTAATACACTTTGTTCAAGGGACTTGTCGTAAAGGTTACTGTTATTTGATACATTTCCTTTTTCCGGGGCCGGACTGGCTTATAAGATTAATTCTTCAAGGCTTTGTTAAAACGACAACCAACGGGACTGGATTAGCTGCGGCCGCCTTTGAAGTGTGCAACGCTTGAAAAACATGTCAAGCTAGTGCTAATTAAGGTGCAAATTCCATAGGATGAGTCAACATTGTTCAAATAAACAATATCAAGGTATGGCTTAAGTTTTTTTTTATCTGGAAGTTTGGAGCATTCTTAACCGTAAGTCATTAAAAAAATCATTTAAAGTCATATTTCATTTAAAGTCTGCAATGAAGAGGAAGGAAATAATTAGTTTTTGGAACCATTTCAATCACATGTGTTTTTGAAAATAAATAAACGACAATATTTGATCGATTGTACGGGAAAACAGAAGCTTTAATTAGATATAAAATAAATTGCAATTTAACAATTCCTAGCTGATCATTGTAATTTTCATATTATTCATCTTTTGTGACCAAATTCCGTTTGCTCAAAAATGAGGGGCGGGTGGAGGGGGGATAATCAAATCTTTCGATCAATTTTTTTTAGATATTTTGTCATCCTTTTGGAAAAGCAACAAGTAATCCACCAATTACAAAAAAAAAAAGTTTAATTTGGTTTCTTTTGTCTGCTTCGTTCTTAAAACATCAATAATTTATTACAATTTTAATATATTATATGGATCCTGTATTTGTCCAATCCGTACGACTATTGAACTGCGTATTTAATACTGATATTTATTCTTAAAGTAGTTCTTATGAACAAGCAGATCTTGACAGAAGAAAAGATGCCTACAATTAACGAATCAGACCAGCCCTGTTTTGCTCCAAGGCCCTTTACAATGCTTTAATAATTTCAAGTCCTCTTTTTGTCCTCATCCTACAATAACCGAGCGAGGGATGATATTTGAACTATCCACTGCGTAACCCCCATGGTCCTTATGAGACGACAAAGGTATTTAATCAATGGACCTTGGGCTTCGATTACCAAATTTGATGTGATGTCGACGGTTTTCCAGGTGGAATTCGGATTGTATACCGAAAGTTGATAATGGTTTCTAGCACCCTGTACTGGGTTTGTTATGAAGCTACAGACTTGATTTCATCCTTTTGAGGTTGCCTTCAGAAGCTTTTATCAGCCATTATTTAATTAGCTTACTTCCTGTGCCACCTGAATTGAGACAGCGTTTTTGTGTGTATAACAAGGTTTATATGTAACTATAGTCTAGAGCATTCTATAGTGGCACCTTGAGGCTCGAACAGTGTTGCGGAGGAGAAAGGAGGGCTTACTGGGCAGATGTAAATAATTTTCACTGCAAGGGATTTAGCGCAGGTGCTAATGGGACCGAGCATTTAAACATGTGATAGAAGCACTGGAATTTTCAAATTTACCTTATCAAGAACTTTTTCAACACGAAATCTCTAGAAAGACTTTATAATTTATGTGATAAATGATCGAATGATTTTCAAGGTGTGAACTGTCATCATCCTAAACGTCTTTCAGATGCCAAAGTGTGACTGCTACGCCTGTATAAGGAGAGAATCTTCCTCAAAAACTCTCCTTTCGCAAACTTTGCGACGGAAATCGGAGTAGCTTGTCAAAGATATAACTTAGATTTCATTGGCACAAGTTGACTCTTGGCGGCCATCTGAAAGGGCTTGATGAAATCTTGATTCCGTTCATTAAAGGATCAGGTGCTATGATGACATTGATCTAATTATACATTTACGAAAGTAAATAGATATTGAACTACAAATAACAACCTCTGATCTGGCGTAAAGTATATTGTGTATTGACAATGAGAAGGCTCAGGCAATGCTAAGGAACAAAGTGTAAAATTATTTTCAGAGCTCGATTGTTTGAGAGTTTAAGACCTACTGAAGGTCAAGATTTGAGACGGCTTTGTCTGACCTTTCGTGGTTAGAATTTAATAAAAGCTCTCTTGTTTTTTTTACAACTGAAGTCAAAAGCTTTATTTAAACTGAAGAAACAAATCATTAAAGACAACGAAATATCAAACAATGTTTATCTATCTTGATAACCATCTTGCGTACATGACTATGACTACTGAGTAAAAAAACTTTTGCGTGTTTCTACTTTTATTGGCAAATCACAAAAACTGTTTTGAAGATTACATGACACTTGTTCACTGTTATTAACTGGCTAAAATATTTTAAACTACTTGCCAACAGGTCATGGCCGTGGTATCGTTTTTTCATGGAACTGAACTGAGTTTTATAAAGAATAGTTTTTTGTGTAAATAACATTTTTAGGGTTTTTTAAATTGGTTTCAAATTTAAGTTTAATTTATACACCTGGAGTTCTCGAGAACGTGCCGCTATCTACCCAACCAGCTGCAGAGTTACAGAATGGAAAAACAACACATGTTAATTTTATCGAAGATATTCCTTGTTGTTCAACGTCGACATTACTTAAGGCTATATCCATTTACACATGGACAATATACTAAATGAAGAGGAAGTTTTAATTCCGGTTTTCTAAAAGTCTGACGAAACTAAACAACTAAAAGTCTGAGGAAAAGGAGGAAATATTAAAGTGGACTACGATGTCTAACGTAACCTACTCCGGCATTCCTTATAAACGTCAAGCCGGCAAATACCCTTTACAAATTTACAAGTCTAAATTATCATGTTGAAATGAATGAACTTAAAAATGTATGAACCGTTTAGTGCCAAGGGCGCTAATCCTGGGATAACCTGTAGCAGCAATGACATCCTGTTTAAAGTTATTCTAAACTATATGAAAAATAAATTCTCACCTAGGAAACTCCTATGCCTCGAGAAGCCAGTTTCTTTGTCGTGATGGTACATGGGAAACAAACTGATTTCGCGTTCCTTTCCACAGGAAATTCTGTAGACGTGCTAAAATATACCTGAGTAGGTTGTTGAATTTTGTCGCGATAACAAGGTGTTATCAGAAACTGACAATAAATGGATGTTAACGCTTACAACGTTGATCGCCACTGTAAAATTCTGCTGTTTTGTGTTCTCCGACCGCACCGAAACTAAGCGACTCACCACTTCTCAAATAAAGATTCCTTTCCTTCGTTGAAACGCAACATGAAGGACCCCAAACATGCGTTTAAATTTCACATGCGCTCATTTGACATAAAAACGACCCTGTGAGGATGTTTGACGACATCGTGGCTTCAGCCGGGTATTTCAGAATAATTTATGGCGTTGACAATCAGTCGGATGTTCATCAATCATACAGTCTGGGATTTGAAAGCCGTCTACATGTATTTGGAGGACATAACCTCTCTTCATTCCATGTCAAGAGAAACGCATATTTTATTTAACGGGGTATTTTTAGTTTTTTCCCTTCTCTACCATGGAAGTCATCAGTCCTTGGTCCTCGGTTGTTTTTTCCTCCAATATTGGCTTTGACATTGCATCTAAAATTTGAACCTGTTTTATCTGCATACAATAGGGACAAAAAAACAGCGCAGCACAGTATGAAATGTTCTTATGAGAAAAACCATGGGACCGAGAACATTTCAAGAAAGATGGAGACGTCTATTGAATCCTTACTCAGATTACTATTTAAAAGTCACTATACTATCTTGTCATCCTGTTACTGTTTGTGAGGTATGGTTATGATGATAGGGTCTTCCACACCCCTCTGTCACTTAAGTTTAAGTCGTTGAGTCTGTGCACTACTCTCACAATAAATCATTAAACAATTAAGGCTGCTTTTTTTTTATTAAGGCTGCTTTTGCCCCAAGATTTCTTACAAAATGCAGAAAATTTGCCAGATAAACGTTCAAAACCGGGTTTTTTAACTACTAGAAATTATAAATAGAGACTTGTTCATTCATTCGGACTACCGGTCGATCACTAATCTAATTATTTTAAATATACGGAGGTCAAAATTCTCAAGTTAATTATAATCCTAACAAGATAACAAATAAGAGTCTTTGCTTGTTTTTCGTTCTGGCAGCCATTACTAATGCAATACATGATCCCCTGGCATTATAGGAAACAGGCCGCTGATAGAACTCTCTATTCCCGACTTCATTTCGCCTCAGGCCAAATTCATAATCTTTTACAATGGTGAATGAACAATACCCCTTGTTCGGGCTCTGATTTGCCCTAGAGCACTGCTAATGTTATCTTAGGAAGATATTTCGTCACCACATTCTCTCTATATGTTGCACAGTGTTTTCTTTGAAAGCGGAGTTAAGTGGTCTGAGTGAATTCTCTCTGAGTGTTGTGAATCTGGCGTTAATAGACACTCGTGCATTTAAATCTGAAAATTAACATTATTCAGTGTAAAAGTGTCTTAGACATGACCTTCGTGCAATCGTGTTGAATAGGAGAGCATGTACGGGTAAAACGAAAAAATTTTCCCGCCAAAATTTCTCTACATATCCATATCACAAATAACACCTGCAAAGTTTAAAAAGCGTGCCGTCATCAGCACGAATGACCAAATCACCAGCAACTCTGACGAAAAGCCAAGCACCGGTGAAACATATCTTATTTTGCTTTTGTTTTTAAGGTTAGTTTATTTTGATTCTCGTTTACGTAAATAAAGTAGAGCTGTTGGCTTTCATATATAGTACATCATAGGTTCCCTCGGTTAAGGTTGAAACGCGACAGTAATAACAATAATTTAACGTGCATCAACTGTATGTGGTTAAATAGTCCTTGAGTTTCTATCTAGTAAGACCACACTTACAAACCAGTTGTTGCATTCCCTTTTGAGATCACCTTATTGATCAATTTTATTGCGCGTTAGGTAGTGTAGGTTTGGCTGTGCGAATGCAAATAACTGGAAAATGAGAGTTTGGAATACCGCGTGTGTCGTGAGTTCTAGTTTCATTTTACTCTTGATAAAATTAATAAACAGATGCGGTAAGGACAATTTCATTGACAGCTCGTGGCAATTTCATCTTAAAGCAGTCTAACGTAGACTATTATTCAAAACATTTCCAGGAGTCTTAACTAGAAATGTTGCTAAGGACACTAGTTTTGAAGACTATTGTAAACGGTGAGTTATTTCTCTGTGGATTGATCCAGGTGCTTTCATCCAATATGTTTCACCCAATAAGTACATTTGTACTCGCTCAACTGGGCAGAGCAATCTTTTACATCTGGCTGCAATAAGAACGGAAACAGCCAGGAGTTCTTTTTATTATCATGGAAGTACGGTTTTTAATAAATACTGAATGTTCATAAATTTGAAGATATTACTCTGGTAGTTATAGGCTTTTGATATTTGTTGTAATATACTTTCCTATATTTTTGTTTTTATTTTTGTATCTATCCTATTATTGTGTAATCCATGGTAGGTAATAGCTTCAGGGCTCCTATTGATWGCAGAGATGCTTTGTAAGCTCCCCGAAGGGACTACCCTAAAATTTTTATCTTTTTGATTTTTCTTTTTACTTTTAAGTAAAGGTGTCTATCTATCTAAGTGTGACATCACGATTCGATACCAGCGCGCATTGTAATTAGCTGCTCAGGCGTGCCCTCAGACAATCACATTGGAGACGGCAAGCAAATTGTATATCAATGCGGCTTAAGACATATTCTTAATTGTACAAACGTGTAATGGACAGCCGCAAATAATATGATATTTAAATATAGAGTTTGTTGTGAACTTTGTTTCGGTTCAATAATTATTTTCTGAAAGGTAAAGTTTGCCCACGGTCGCGCTAGCGTTCCATACCGCTGTTACAAGTACCTGTCTCGGTGTCGGTAGCAGTATATACAACTAGGACCTCAACTCCACCCTGAATGAGATGCTAGGTAACTCCCAGAATTAAATTTTGTCAGCGTCTATTTATAAACCTGGGTGGATAAAGGCACTGTGCGAGTAAAGTGTCTGAGAACACGACACAATGTCTCAAATCCCAAGCTCTCGATCCCAGTTTCTCAGCTTTATATTATGGTATGGATATAACATAAACATTATATTTAGATCAAGGAGAAACGACATAATTATCCCTGTTATTTTGGTCTGTCCATTGAAAGATCAATAGCAACCTGCTCTAACTAACTCCAATGATTTTTGTCAGTGTTCCGTTGCAGGGGCGGCCACAAGAAAAGCATTCACACAAACCCTGATGAATGTAATTCAAACTCAGAAAGTATTTGCACTCTTTGCATGGATTGCAATTGTGACAGTAACTGTCGATCTTGGTAAGTTACAGCTACCTATACAACTATATCATAACATATGCATTACAATGTCTTTTATGCAATTTGTATTCACCTTCGCTGTAAATGTGTCACCTGAGCACCCTGCTTACCACCATTGCCGGATTAGCAAGCTATAGGTAATTATATTAATCAAAGATTAAAGAATGTACTCGAATTAGAATTAACCGGGACTGTCGTTCAGGCCAAATCTAAAACGGAAAGGATTACATTAGAAACATGTATAGAGAAGGACTTTCATCGGAAGGCTCAATCCACGAGAAGCGATTTTTGACTCAAGTTTGATAGTGGCGTGATTTTCCTGGACCAATCACAATTCATTGCTATGCATAGCAACCAATGAGATTGCTTCATTCTGTAAGACAATAGATTACGTCAAATAGCTTTTTTTCGT